GCGTCCCAATGCGAATACATTATCAAGCTGCAGAAGCCAGCCATCAGAGGTAGGGAGTGCAAGTAATCGTAACCTGATGGCTGGACAGCCATAGCAACCTTGATCACGAAAACTGCCTTCACCTGAATGGAAATCTGGAGTGCCCTGGGTTCTTCTTATACACCAAAGATAAGTTGACCCTAACAAGGCCGTCCCACTTGTACAACGTAAACTTACCAAGGTTTCATTGGGAAACTTGACTCGTGAGAACTTGCTTTGGCTATTTTAAATGACTCTTTGGGCCTCCAACTTGGCACGCACCAAGAAACTTAACAGGTCGAGGAGGGATTTTGAAGGATTTTCCAGGATTTGCGTGGCCTGACAGCCCTCAAGAACGACGGCAGATGAAAACTGTGCCACGGACACCATTGAGTTCCTGCTGTGTGGATGATGGGGAAGCTGGTTGACGATCTTCGCATCGGCGGCGCAAGGTCCAGAAGAAGAAAAAAAAACAAGAAAAGTAACACAACAAAAATGACACAATACTTTAATTAAGAACAACGAGAACACAAAAAACATAAGACAAAACCAAAACACAAAAACACACAAGAACGAGAAGAACACAACAACAAGACACAAATTAAGCGTGTCTGTAGAACGATGCTAATAATTACAAGTAGAAGCCCAGAAAAGAGTGGCACCTACAAGATCTTTGAGGCTCATGAGGCCTCAAAACTGTGCCACCCCGAGCATGTCATCCACTATACCCCTGCGGTATAGATCTATAAAGGTCCCCAAATAGATAGAAACGGTTTCCAATACATTTTTAGTGGGAATGTACTTTTCTATGTAGTTGGGGGCCTAGTCTATGGACTACCTGCTGACCGAATATTGCACTGGCAGGCCATGGAGGATGCTCCTGGCGCTGATGCCTTGGCGAAAGCCAAGAAGTTCGACTTGGAGGTGCAATACTTCGGCCGACCAAGTGGCATTTTTGGAGGGAGATGTTGATTGCAGCAGTTTGCCGCAGGCCCTCAGGGTAAAAGAAGTATATATGTTTAAGATTCAGATTGTTCCGGGGAAACTCCGATTTTGAAGACGGGGAAGTAGGCGATCTGTAGATTTTGTCCCTCGAGAATGACATGTTTCTTCCATCCTATCGAGGTAGCTGCGCAGGTAAACTGTGCCACCCAGCCAGGATCTGGCACTTCGCGTGATCCGTTTGTGGTGATGTGTGGTATTTAGGACTTGCAAGTCGGTGACGGACGCAGCTTCCAAAACGTCCTGGGTCTTCGCGGTCGCGCTTTTGATGCCACGGGGACAGCGCCTTTTTTTCCGCCCTGGAGGCCATCATCAAACAGCGCGTTTGGGATGAAGCCTTCGATGATGTGGCCACTTGGAAGAGGTGTTTGGCGGGTCGTCTTGCTTGCCTCGCTTGCTATTTGCTCTCATGTAAAAAGATATTTCATTTTTCCCCTTGTCGGTGCAAACACGCAAGGCAAACACTGAGCCTTGCAAGAACAGCACGACTGCACTTCTCCACTATGTGCCTGACGCAACTCACCAACGCTCTCTTTTATCCCTAGAGCTCCAAGTACCTTCTAAGAAGGTGTTTGGGGTGGGTTTGGAGGGTCCAAATACCTTCTGAGGAGGTACGACTGGAGCCCCCAGCCTCCCTTTCTCAGGTTCGGAAAGCTCAGTTGCCGCCCTCCCAACGGGCGCAGACGGGGGAAGAGGCACCCTGCGGATGGGGAGCGGTAGAGGATGAGGAAGGAATGATTGCATGTGAGCTTCACAAGGTTTTCCACCCCCATTGTTGCACCAAGTGGTAGGCTTCACAGCCATTCCTGTCAAGTTGTTGGCCTTATGCTATCGTGCCCCCCTTCAGCAGCAAGATTCAACGAACAATTGGTTTGTTATGGGAAATGACCGACACAGCCGTGGATGCAACATGAATTTTGTTCGGCATTAGCAACATAGACATCATACCTGAAGTTAGTTATATATACAGAATCCACTTGTGAACTTGTGAATGACAGAATCCACTTACCACTGGTACCGGGAGTTCACTCGTTTCGCAACGGCCGAAGAGAGCCTCGGCGTGAGGACGGTTGTTAGACAGCGGCACCGAACTAGATGGACATGTGATCAGGTGAATACCCTCAAACATTATGTATATATATTATTTAGATAGATAATGTATAGTCTATAGAACTTATAGAACATAGAAATTATGAAAGTCGGTATAGAACATAGAACATAGAACATAGATATATTATTTAGATAGTCGGTATAGAACTTATAGAACATAGAAATTATGGAACCATTTCATTTCTGACTGCTCTTCTCTGGGGCCTGGACATGGTCCGGAACCTTGTCTCGTGAAGCTTCGCTCACCTTCGCTCACCGTCCGTCGGAACGAAACCCGTTTCGCAGGAGGCCGTGGAGACGTTGAACTTCGAGAAGAGCCGTGTGGGCTTGGGCGACATCTACGCCAAGCAGTATGAGGCGCGGAACCATCTGCTCCAGCACTGCGCGGGCGAACTGCGCGCGCGAACTGCGCGGCACACGAGAAGCAGATGGATGGCGGGACAGTGGAAATGGTGTGTTTGGCATCGAAGGGAGCGAGATAAATAACACATCAAAAAACATTCTGGTGGTTTTGTACCAAGTAGAAGTTCATGGGTTTGTCGTAGGTAGTGTGCCTAAACGGATGGACTTGGAAGAAACTGAGGAACACTAAGGGACCAGTAGGTTTTTTGTGTTTGGTCTCTTCTTTTTGCAGATGTTCTGGACAAAGCTGCTGCTTGGGAACAGTATCAGCTTGCTCCTTCCATGTCATCCTTCTCGTGGGAAGCCTCGTAGCCTACGTTCAACGTAGGCAGGTCGTGAGCGTAGATCCGCGGGACCTGTCGACGAACATGTGGTCCATGGCGGTTCCACCGGACGGACCAGGGGTGGTTGACTCCATAAGCCCCTATTCATAGCGTCCGAACGCTTCATTCGTAGCGATGCCAGGAGCCCCTAGCTATAGCGTCCGAACGCTCCTGAAGTGTTTTTGTTGGATGGACTTGTTGTTTCTTCCTTCATGCTCACCGTCTGGCCCTCTTTGCTTACTGATCAACTTGCCCTTATAGTTGTGTAGGTGCAATCTATAGGCTTCCGTTCGACGATTGAAGAAAGGTTGAGCTGGTGTTGTAGTGTAAAATCCTTAGTAAAACATAGTTCAACAACGGTTGTTTGGTTAAGCACGGTAAAGCCTGTTAATGGTGGTTGGAATCTTAAAAGGGTGCACATATATGATATATGATTTGTCAATTCAGCTGATGAACCTGCGAAGATCTCAATTTTCAAAGCAGGGTCAACCCATGATTTGTCCTTATCGCGGAATCCTTACTTGGCATTGGGTGTAGCTGACAGGTGCGAGCTGAAAGGAATGAGGGAATCTCAGGATAGATAGTAGTTTACCTCTTGTGGACTACTACTCCCACGTCCTTGAGGTGAGCACCCGCAGAGATCACCCGGGCACCACTCCTTCTTCGCTCCAGTTTCACCTCAGGCAGAGATGCTCGGCCACCAAACCGACGCGGAGAAAGCGGAAGATAAGGACCGGGACCGCGACGGAAAACCAAAAAACACCGACGCACCGATGGATCGTCGAGAGCTTCGCAGGTGAAGTGGTGTCGTTGGGCCGTCCGCTGGGTCATTGGGCCGTCGGGCCGTTGTGGGGTGTTTCCAAAGTGACTCAAGGAGCTTTCCTACTAGACGAAGTGTGCTGAATTTGTTTGGAATGGTTGTGGTGGCTAGGCACCTTGTGTGTGCTGAAAGCATAATATGCTATGCCGTTCTGCTGTCTTGCAGTGGACGCAGCGGATGGTGCTGTCAGAGCGCTTGTGCTTCTGAAGTGGTGCTGCCTGGTAGTTCAGGCCAATCCTGGTGGATTAGGGTCGTGCATTGCAAAAAAAAACATCAAGATCAAGGATGTCGTTCAGCTTCCAAGATCAGCAGTTGTGTTTTTTTTCATTATTGTTCACGGGTACTGAATCGCAAATCCAAACAACTACCGCATTTAGTTGTGCCGTCGAAAAGAGAAACATTCCAAGGCTATCCACAGGAGCAAGTGAAGAGGTGTTCTCAAAAGATGCAACACACTTGTATTGTTCTACCAAAACCGAAGAAACTCAATATAAGTATATATCATGGTATCCCCTGTCTAAAGATTTATGACCTTCACTCACACAGTGTCTCGCCAAGAAACAAAAATGAAAGAGGTCGCTAGAAGACCGGTTTCAGGAGAAAGCGGAGCTCAAAGAGCTTTTCGCCAGAGTCATGCCCGGCGGCCTACACAAAGGGCTAGCCATGTAGCCCTCGCGTTCAAGGGTGTTGCTTGAATTGATGAAATGGGCAGAAAAAAATTGGCAAAGTTCTCCCAAGCGATTCACTGTGTTGACTTCAAAGGGTCTTTGCCGCCGATTCACCTCTTCACCTCCAACACCATCTCCCTTCACCTTTGAGAGCTCCTACTTCCTCCCTTCACGTCACGTTTTGGTCGAAACCTCCCGCCCGCTTCGGCGGGCCGGACTCGAAGGTTGCAGTCGATTTGACCCACATAGGACCGGTAGACCGGGGTTCTTCAAAAGCACCCGAACATGGCAACATGCTGCGTCGTGTTGAAATGAATAATGGGAAGATGCCATGGAAAACATGCTTCAAGAGTTCTTGTGATAGAATAGGAACAGTGTCCAAAGCCAAAGATCCACAAACCCATGTGGCCAATACAAGAACTATAACCTCATGGCCCTCAAAGAACATGTTGTGATTTTGTGATCCTGTTTAGTGCGACTTTGGTACCACATTTCAACTTGATTCCAAATTCAGTTGTATTGGTTGTTCCCCCTTTTTGTATGATTTTTCCATATATATCTCTACCATCGGGGCGGCGGTCAATGTACGCATATCGGGTCGTGGAGCTCGACGGGTCGTGGACGAAGTGAATGCCGCGGGATGATCACGCTCTCCAGACCGTCCAGCCGAGGTTTAAGTTGGATCAGCTCTCCAATGCGCACTTCACGCTCGTGTCCTCAGCTGATGGAAGCTCGTGTCCTTCAATTGGATTCTCTATATAGGTCCAGAGATCCATTTCCTCCCCAATCAACAGTAGGACAAAGTCATAGTCTATGACAACAATATGTAACACATGTTTACATGTTTGGAGATCAACCATGTTCCATGTTCCGCCCATGTTCTGGGCCATTGGGGGTCGCTTCCATGTAGTGTGCCTTCTTCTTGGGACGGATGGGCTCAGAGAAGTGCCAGGAGGGATGGACTTTCATCGGTTTCTGGCGAAGATCAACTTCAAAACCGAGGATGTGCATGACATACTTCGACCAAAATAGACTCCGAAATAGATAGATCCCCACTAAGAACGTAGTGGAATTCGCGTTTCTATTGGAGGACTACTAAAAAAGATTCTTTTCCGCTGACCATTCTTGCATGGGTTCATGCAAGACCAAGCATGATGGATCATCGATGGGCTCAATAGACCAACAGACCTGCAGTCTTTGTGTTGATGTTGCATCGGCTGTCAGTCATCCTCCGGTCAAACCAAGCAGACGCCTTGTTGAGCGCTCCAAAGACTTTGTGTGCACTCCCAAGCCCTGGAAGGACACACCCTTTGAGAAGATGGCTGCACCTATTCGTTGAATTTGGGGCTAGATACTCCCACAAGGAAACATATTCCTGCAAGTGGAACCGACTGGTTGCATTTGTAGGTCGAGTCCTGCTGCTACTGTTCGTGAATCTTGCACGAACAGACTTCGATCTAAGTAGATCTTGAATGTCCATGGAAGACCTCTTGTCTCGATAGAATGGTACCAAAGAGACAATGCAGACCATCCAGACGCAGAGGGTCTTAGACGGTCCAGGACCCTGCTTTTCTGGGATGTTCAAACCCCTTCGCCCAGGTGGACCATTCTATGCCTAAAAGCTGAGTGACCCCTATGATTTGATCACACAATCACACACCACCCCAAGGTCTTTTTGAACATGGAGGGTCATGTCAGGGATCTACCCTCCTGCAGAGGACCACATGGACCCTGAAAACCACTGCAGCTGGGTGGAACGACGAGAGACCGGACGATCCACGAGATCGCCCTCCGAAAGGGGGGGTAGCTTTGGTCGGGCCGGTCATCGCAAAAAGAGGTGGGTGGGGAAGCCATTCTTTTCGGGGGGTTGGATGAGAATGATTGATGGTCACTGTTTGCTTTGGAACAGTTCGTCTCATTGGACTTGGTGGAATCATCATGGACAGTGGTTTCAGATACACTCCCTGGGACAAGTCATGGACATGGATGGCAATGGTCCCGGGTTCCGGATGGCCCAGTGTCCGAAGACCGAACAGGTGGGTTCTTGGGTGTTCTCCACTCGAAATAGTCAAGCGGAGCTCACCACCTGTTTGGTATTCGGAAGACTCATGATCACTCTTTCCGGGGCCATGCCATTGCCATGATTCCGGGGAGTATATATGAGTCTATATGGGGTGTAACTATATTTATGTTCCACCTTTGCTTGGGAGGATTGAACCCACTTACGAATCTATTTTTTGTTCATGAGTTGAAACCACCACCCAGTTCTTGTTTTTTGGTGGATTCCCTTTTGGAAGAAAACTGTTTGGACCCCCCACACCCACCGCGCCCCGCATTTCGCAGACCACGGCCACCGCTGCTGGGGGGCGGCGGCGGCTCATGCGGCAAAGGTGCCCTCGTTGAAGATGGAGGCACACGTACAACGTCGGGATAGGGTTCTGTGTTATGGTTGGGCGCCCGTACAGCACCTGTGGAGGTGTGGTCGAGAACAGGGAGAGAACTCATGGCACCCTTTACAGTGTCATGACGGACAACAGCAAAATGAGCAAATGAGCAAACACCAATTGCCAACATTCCTGCAATGTATTTTACCTGACCCAGGACATCCAAGGACTGAGTTGATACATATATAAATGAAAAGCTCGAAACTTGCTGAGATTCAGATTCTTTGCGTCACGTGTTTGACATACCTCAAGCAAGGACCTTGTTTCTTGCAAGTTGTGTTCGCAGAGGTTTATCGCCGGGACGGCGACGGTCGAGGGAGCCGAGAGCCGAGGAATACTCGGTGCACCGGGTTCAGAAATCACCAGCTGCTCACAGCTCTAACAGTCGGTCGACATCACTTAGAAGGAAATACTTGAAGGGTGGGTTGCTCTCAACAGTGAGAAGCTTGCCGACCAAAACCTGTCCTCTTTGGAAAAAAATATGTGGATGCCGGGTTTGCTACTGCGGCACTTTCACGATCGAGAGAAGAAAACCAACAAATACACTCAGAACTGGCCTGGGCCTGTGAGAAGGGCTGACCATTCAGATGGCCGATCTAACTTTGAAATAGATAAATGATGGTAAAGTCATGAATGGCGAGGTATACACCCACCAAACGAGAGAACACAACCAAGTGTTCTTCGACTGCTGGAAGTCATGAACATCCCCTTAATGTTCGATCCCAAGTTTGCACATCTGCCTGGTGGCTTCCGTTGACGGCTGCCCTCCCCGCACGGGGCCCTGCTCTTCCTGCTCGCAGGAGACCATCCCCTTGATGGTCTCGGATGCACAACTCCAAGCGCCGCACGGCAGAATTTGCATGGCAGGACCGGTGCTTGCTATCACCCTGCGGTGGACCATGAGGTCGATAGTGAGGCGGTTGAGGTGGGTGGTTGAAAAGGTAGCAGGCCGATGGACAGGATGTCCTTGATTGCGAGCACACATTCTCCCTCACATGGCTCAGATGAGGACGGTTTGGAGCATCCTGTTTTTATCTTGACCTGGTGGCGCGGGTAAATTGTGAGGAGTTAGAAAACTGGAAGGGAAGGGATTTCCAGGCGCAGAATTTGAAGGAGAAACTCTGTGCGGTTCATCTTCCAATGAAGCAGGTTTATTAGGACTCAGGACGTTCAAGAGAGGGTTTGCCAGCGAAGCCTTTTCGTAGAAAAAGACCTGACAAAAAACATGGTGGATGATGGTGGGTGTACTTCAATGATGGGCAGCTGTTTGCAGTCAGGGTAGCGATGAGAATCCAATGTGAACAATGGCCACATATGGCCACACGTGACAACAGCAACAGGGCCAATGGTGTTTCTCCGGGATACAGGTTGAGGGATATAGGATGATATAGGGACATGGACCCTCCAACCACAGAAGACCACATGGACCCTCCAACCCACGTTTTTTTTTTTTTTCGGAACATGGTCTTCGGTGAATGGTCTTCGGTCCATGGGATCGGTTGCAGGGGTGTCACATGAGGACTTATTTAAAGATTTGATGGCCCACACGCCCGCACACGCCGGATTGGACATGACCGTTGAACTCCCCCCTCTCCGGTGATGAAGACTGGAACGAACTAGATGTCTTTTGCAAAGCAAACATTCACTCTGCCGAAGCTCATCGCATGGAAGTGAATGACATGGTCCCCGAGTTCGGAAGAGGACTTTCCTTTACGAACTAGGGGGGTGCCACGCCATCCGCTTCCGTGATGCTTCGGAGCGTCGTTTTGGTCTGTGGAGTCCACCGCGGAATCCCTTCCAAACGCCGAAGCGCTCGTGGAGTGGGGGGTGGCGGCTCGCGGAGTGGCGGCCGTACGACGTGTGGCGCTTAGGCCTGAAGAGGCCAAAGCGCCCCGGCGCCATGCGAAGGAGAAGTTGGAGGGAGTGGGACAGGCGAAACCGGAAATAGGCACTGGTTGGATCCAGACAGAATGGGACCTGTTTTGGACCAAGAAAAAGTGAGGATCCTGGACATCGAATCGATGTGATGGTGTTTGTCGTGTCGTTGCAACTTGTAGGTGTTTTTTCATTGTTGTTTGTGTATGTGTGTTTCTTATTGTTTTTTTTTGGTTTGTTCATTTGATGCACTTTTGTTTGACATGTTTAGTCCATGTTAGGTGTAGGGGACCACAAATTTCAGGAGGCTACACGGCGGCAGATGATCACTCTGTCCAGCTGGGGGGCATTTGCTAAGGCAGCAGTTTCATCAGTCCCAGAGTTGGTTTCAGGGAAATCTACTGGAAATTGGAAAGCCATAGTGTTTGGGGCCTGTAGATGTTCCCTTATAAACCAATCCATTCAATTCGCCACCGTTTTGCTTCTGTGAACTTGTCAGACCACCGCAATTTAGAGCCTTGCTTCTTCACTCTTGCTTCTTCACTAGCAGGATCACACAGAGCTGTCGCCTGATGAGAAAGCCGCTGCCTGGGGCCTTGCTCCTGAAGAGAATACAACAGGGAACCGTGCATTGGGATTGATGATGAGTATAGGTCAAGCAGGTCACCAAATCAAGCTTGGGGTTAGGAGGAACGAACCAGTATTTTGGTGTATCCGAATGAACCCATAGTCCATCATATTCTCCTTGAACGAATAAAGTTCTTGAACCGAGCGTGATCCTGGTGATGGAGCTTGTTCAGACTCCCAAAGAAGCAATGTGCTTTGACTTGCGCTAGTGTTTGAGACTTAGGACATGTTCAGAAGGTCGTCAGGTTTTGAAAAGTCGCTGGCCAAAAAATGCGCTAGCCGCGCGCTAGCACTGCGCTAGATCCGCGCTAGCAAACATTGCCACATGCCAGCAGCAATGACCCTTCCAAAGCTGACTTGCAACAAGTCTTTTGTTTCAAGCGTTGCTGGAAGAAAAGGCACAGAGTTCAGACAACTTCCTTGGAGAGCAGCTGAAAATGGTGCAACGCTAGTGACACTTCTGACAAATTGGTGCCAATACTTGTTTGGTCCATGTTTCCTTCATCAACCAGCGGTGTGTGCTAAAAGTAAAGAATATGTAGTGGGCCCCCATGTGAACACGACATTCAGCCATTTTTGGAAGAAGACATTTCTCTAGATCCCACATGCGCATTGTTTTCATGGTCCTGGTGTCAATATTACGAAAGCCAGCCTTCGTAGAAGGCGCCAGCGGAGTTGTGTTTGGCGAACGAAGTGAGTAGTTAGGGGGTCTGGGGGGGGTGGCCCGCAAAAGGTACACGTAAACTCGGCACATGCTGGGGGAGGAGGGTGCGTCGAGGGAAGGTTTTTTGAGGTTGTGTTGGAGGTGATTTTTGA